TGTTCAACTTTCAATTTTACTTCGCGTGTCGATGTTAGTTTTGTAGATATGTTTTATTTTCACACTAATGTCTGCCTTTTGTTTTAATAAGCATCTTCAATTAAATATTTAAGTTGCCCCAGGAACACCATTTGAACAGTTTATAACTATGATTTGTAATTGATATAATAACAAAAAAAGGAAGAGAGAAGAAAAAAAGGAAGTTCTGATTAGCGTAGTGAGCAGACGTGTCTCAAGTATTTCAATAAAACAAAATAAATAAGTGCTAATATAGAATAAACCTAACATCACTGGAAGTACAGTATAATCTTGAATAATAGTGAGTGCCCGGCGCTATTCAATCATAGTGTGCGTACACATCACTAGAGTAGCGCACATGTTACACAAGCGGAGCGGAAAGCGGACCGGGTAATATTTTTAAAACTTATTAATTACTATCAAATACACTTAACATGAGTGTCTTAAGGTCGCCTACTGATACCATTAGAACCAGTAGTTCTCAACCAGATTTGTCAAATTTCGGGATCGCTGTACCGGAATCAATGAAAAAGTCAATACGGAAACGAAAAACTCGTGACGATGATTTCTCACAACAATTTAGTGAATTTAAAAATGAAATTCTTGGCATGTTTAAAGAGTTTAAAGTGTTCCAGACAGATAGTTTTACTGCCATAAGACAAGATATATCTTCTGTAAAGCAACAATTGGATGACATTAAAACCACAACAGAGAGGCTGACTGCCGAGAATATTATGTTTGACACAAAAATAGCAAGTCTTACGAGTACTGTTGACAAAACTCAGGAAAAGGTTAAGTCCCTGGAGAGTGACGTCCATATTCTGCAATCTAGTGTAAATTTTTCGGCATCAATAGAAAACCTGGGATCAATAACTACTTATGATAAAATAATAGCAGAAGTACAAGAGCGCACTGAACGTAGTAAAAATGTAATAATAACTGGTATCGCTGAACCGCGCTTCGACAACACCGAACAAAGAAGAGAAAAAGATAAGAATGAGGTGAAAAGTATAATATCAGCCATCTACCCAAACTGTCCTGACCCGGAAAAAATTATACGGTTAGGCAAGTATGACGAGAATAAAATGCGTTCTATCAAAGTTTGTTTCACATGTCACAACACGGCCCTTAATGTATTGAAAGGAAGATCTAAAGTCAATGATAAAACCATCAGAATCTACTCGGATCGGACACCAAACCAGCAGCAGTTTATATTAACATTACGAGAAGAGCTACGTCAACGTACAGAAAATGGTGAAAAGGACTTAATTATAAAATATCAGAAAGGTATACCAAAAATAGTTAAACAACAGTCAAAAAACTAAGTGCAGCAGTAAATAGTGTAAGAGAAAACAAGTGTGTAACATATGAAATCTGTAATAAATATGCCAATCTAACAGTTACTTGCAAATCTCTCAAATTCCTCTACGCAAACGTGCGAAGCATTGTAAAATCAGGCAAAATAGATGAAATAACGTGCATCTTAGAATCTATTCCAACAACCATACATGTATTAGTTTTAACAGAGACATGGATTAAAAGTGAAGAGGAAGCTCACAGATTAAAATTGCCGAACTATATACATTACTTCAATTACAGAAAACATTCACGAGGTGGTGGAGTTTCTATATTTATTCATAAAAATTTAAAGCATAATGTATTGGATGAACAATGCGAAGACGGAAACCACTTTTTGTGGGTATACTTGGACACGTTTTCTTTAGATATTGGCGCCATATACAAACAACCAGCATCAAACACAAGCAAATTTCTGGAAACCTATAATCAACATCTTGCAAAAAGAAAAAGAGTAATCACCTTTGGCGACCTTAATATTAATTTACTAAGTGCTGAAAATATTGTAAAAGAGTACACTGCAGTGTTGCGAGAGAACAACATGAAAATATTGAACAAAATTAGCCTGGAATACTGCACTCGCGAAACAGGAACAACAAAAACTATCCTAGATCATGTGATAACAAACTTACAGGATAACACTTTCCAAATGTCTGTAGTTGATTCTTCTCTCTCAGACCATAAACAACTATATCTGGAGATAAACAGACTTAAACCTATACGTATACAGCGAATACAGTATGAGTCTATAAATTACACCAATTTATATAATACTGTAAAGAATGCTATCGGAAAAGGAGAAATTGCCGATTTTACTAACCTGGAAACTTTTTTGTTAAACTCAATCAATAATAATAAAATACAGAAAACGAAGATCCTTAATTTACCTCGCAAGGAATGGATAAATAACAAACTTATCAAACTAATTGACGAAAGGAACCAATTATATCAAGACCTGAAAGAAAAACCTGATGATGCTCAATTGAAGAATGAGTTTAAAAAGAAACGTAGTATTACGTACACATCAATTCAAAGTGCGAAAAATCAATATTACAATAATGCTTTTAAAAACTGTAAGAAGCATCCGTTAAAAATGTGGCAACTTATCAATAGACTATCCAATAACAAAGTCGAAACTAGCTCTGGGCCGTTGGCACCCAATTCTGGTACAGGACGTATCACAAATATTAAAGAAATTTGCGAATGCTTTAATTTGTTCTTCTCTACAATAGGTAGTGAACTAGCTAACAAGATATCCCAAGACGTTCATACCTATCATCTAACATGTGCACCTTATAAAAATAATTATGACCAATATTCAAAATTTAAACCAACAACTTCATGCGAAGTAATTAAAATAATCAATAATCTTAAAACAAATACTAGCTCAGGTATAGACGGTATTAGTACGAAGGCTATCAAATGTATTAAAGATGTTATAGCACAACCTCTTGCGAACTGCATTAATACTTGCCTTATTAATGGTTACTTTCCAAATTCCCTCAAAATTGCTAAAGTTAGACCTATATTCAAAACAGGTAATAAAACGGACCCCAGCAATTATAGGCCTATATCCGTGCTACCAGTACTATCTAAGGTTTTTGAAAAAGTATTATATAACCGTTTGAATCAATACTTAATAGCCAAAGACTTTCTTTTTCAAAAACAATATGGTTTCAGAACAAAATCCAACACTACATCCGCAACCTTAGACCTAGTAACAAATATAAGATTGAGTATTGATCAAGGGATGATAACATTAGGGGTTTTCATCGATTTAAAGAAGGCTTTTGATACCGTTAGCCACAAAATACTTTTATTAAAACTAAAAGATTTGGGTGTTGCTGGCGCAGGTTATAACATTCTCAAATCATATCTCTTAAATAGGTCTCAAGTTGTTAAAATTGATAACCATCAAAGTGAACCAAGATCCGTCACATGTGGCGTGCCTCAGGGATCAATATTGGGCCCTCTACTTTTCTTAGTTTACATTAACAGTATACATGAAATTGGACTGAGAGGTGATATCACTTTGTACGCTGACGATACTAGTTTATTTTATTCTGGTCGTTCAATAGATACGATAGTTGATCAAGCACAACACGACCTAAATATGTTAAATGTCTGGTTAAACTTAAATTTATTAACTATCAATGCCTCAAAAACTCACTACATCATATTTTGTGCTAAGAACAAACAAATTGGTAACTACAACCCATTAATCATTAACGGTGAAAGAATTGGTAAAGTTTATGAAGAGAAATACTTGGGCTTAATATTGGATCATAGACTTGCGTGGAAGCCACATATTGAGAAAATACGAAATAAATTAACGTCATTGTCGGGCGCTCTTCGACCCATAGCTCGATGCTTACCTCGAAACGTAAAATATACTGTCTATAACTCTTTGGTAAAATCACACATTGACTACCTGATTGAAATCTGGGGCACGTCAGCAAAGAGCAACCTAAAACAATTACAAACCTCACAAAATAAACTGATCAAAATATTGTTTCGATATGATTACTTAACACCCACCGTAAAAATCTACAAAGAAACAGGCATAATGAACCTTGCTCAAACACATAAATACAATATCATCATATTTATTAGAAAAATCTTAACGAAAGACATCCACTCACAGTTAACATTTACAAAAAAGATAGACAGCCACAAACGTTTAACTAGGCGAGCCAATAACATCTGTCTGCGAATGCCTAGGACAAATTACGGCAAAAAGAGTATTTTATATGAAGGGGCCCAAAGCTACAATAAGTTACCTAAAGATATAAAAGAAGCTAAAACATTAAACACATTTAAAAAGTTATTAAAAAGCCACATTTTAAGGGATGTTTCACTGATTAGATAATGAAAGTAGCTTTGTTTAAATTTTGATGTGTAAATACTATTACTAATGTATACCATATCTAAACTATACATATGTTAAGTATATGTATACGAGATTAGATTAGATTTACGAGATTAAGATTGGCAATATTAGGTATAGAACACTACATACAATATTCTGGGATGCAATTTACAACGTTCCTATATTTAGTCTAAATATACATAAAAGCAGTACACTCCGCTTATATAATTATATAACATATTATTTACTTATAAAACATATTACATTGCTGGTGTCACTATAATAAGAAATAAAATGTTTGACATCAATCTACAGGTACGTGTCACTAAGTCATAGGCCTTCACAAACATGCATTGTTTTGTGCACCAACATTCTTGAACTCACAGCTGTATAGAAAGTATTGAATCTACCCTACTCACAAAAAACTGTTCACAACTACCTTACTAACTAACTACGCTAATTAAGTAATTTATTTTTGTTTAGTATTGTATTTTTCTCTGCAAGTGATTAATTGTAATCTTTTGAGAAAAATAAATGTCTTTAACCGTACATAATGGTGAAGGTTGTCAGAATTTTAGTGTCGCAATCACTCTCTCAAAAAGTAACTTCATAATTATTTTTAAATTTGCTTCAGTTTATATGTTATCTTATTTCGCGATAACTTTTCGAACTATTTTCCAAAAACTTGTCTTACCTTAGGATATTTTAATACATAAATCAATGAAGTGTTTTTTTTCTTGCAGGTGGTTCTTTTACCATGAAGGGGGACAAGCTGCGCCTTGCGCGGCTTTCGCTGCTGCTCTTGCAAGCCACAGTAGTCTTTAGTGAGTATAATTTTCAGAGTAGTTGTATGATATTTCATTATAATAACTGCACGGAAGGCGTAGTGCTTTAAGCGGTCACCTTGCCGATGCCTATTACGCTAAGTGTTGTGGGTTCGATCCCCACATGGGACGTCACCTGTTTCTGCTTAAACTCGTAAAACTGGGTTTCATTTGATTTATAATTTTTAAAACATTATTGTGATCTATTTAATTTATAACATTGTCTATCAAGCATTGAACACATATTTATTATTCACTTCCTAGCAGTTGTAAGTTAAGTAGTGATTGCCTTAAAGTCCGTCAGTATGTAAGACCGTCGTTTCAACTATGTTCTTTCCTCCTTCTTCTTTCCAGGCGGTTAAAAATACTTCATTTATTATTAAAATGAGATAAAAAAAACTCAATAACCAAATTAAGCTTTTAAAAAAATATTTACACCACTATAGTTAAAACTTTTTTTAATCATAATAAGAAAATTATTGGAAATTCTGTGTGCAACAAGTTATGCACCTGAGTGAGCTCACAATGAGTGCGGTGAAAAAATTACTGTACCTATGTTATGCCTCGACTTATGATTAAACCACCGGCAGATTTATTTAATGAAATTACAAAAGAGACACATTAAGTAGAAATTAAAAACCATATAAATTTGCGATTTAAGTGAAATATTGAAATCTGTCGAAGAAAGGAGTTGTTAATCTAAATCGTATCAAGTAATTTTTGTATAAACTCTACTGACGGGAATTGTAGCATGTAGATCATCTTTGATTTTCTATGAATAACACAATTGTCACTTCTTTTTTATAAGAATATTAATAACTACAAAAAAATTCTTCATAGTTTTCTTCGATACTTATGTTTTTTCGAACTACGAAACTAAATTTAATTCCGATACTATCTTTCTTTATTATGAATGTTTTATTTTATGGGTAATCGGAGACTAAACGCATTCATAAGTTTATAGATATATTTATAGCCACATTAAACACGCTGTTTATTTAATTAAACAATTGTAAACGGTTAACATGGCGATGTTATGAAAGGTTGATGCGCCCAATGCTTTTTCAGAATACAGTTAATATGTCCCGTAGTCTCATTTATCTATGAATGTATCTTACTACTAATATTTATTTGTTTATTCCTTGTACGTTAACGTGACGTAAACTATTAATACATATATATATATATAGAAACTTTTCTTTACGTTCTTTTCATGGATAGTGGACGCTGCCATTTGGGTTTCTAAATGTGCTTTTAGAACATAGTATACAATTTTTTTAGATGAGTTCTAAGTCGCCTCTCAAAACCCGCTCCATGTTCTATATAGTCTTTATATACTATAATTAAATGTGTTTGCTGTTGAGTTATTTGATATGTAAACAAACATAAAAAATAAATAAAATGTTAAATTAACAAATATTAGTTCTAAGGTAAAAAACATATGTTTTAATGATAAGCAGAATAAACAGTCCAAAACTATACTTGAACGTTATTGTTTCAGGTCGGACGGCTTTCGAAAAGCTTACGGATGTGGACTTCTCAGGAATAGCTTATTACACAGTGCGCAATCTATCATTGTACGAGTGTCAGGGATGGTGTCGGGAGGAACCTGACTGCCAGGCGGCTTCCTTCAGGTAAGCTGTGAGATATGTATCTACACTCGTTACTAGAATAGCATACGGTCTAGACGTACTCGTATAATTAACGCACGATATTTATCGATGTCGGTATCTATTAGAGGAAGTAAGATTGAAATCGTTTGATGTGAATTTAAATATGCATAGTAAACCAAATTGTAACTAATGATTGTTTTGGATTTACAATATCACAATCTTTCAAATGAATATTTGAGTTTTAGAATGAAGATAAAATGTTGACTTTAATCTTTTCAATGTTAACTCAACATTCAAAATCTGTTAACATAATTCTGTGCTATTATTCTATTAAGAATACACGTAATTGTACATCTTATCATTTTGATATACTAGTCTTATCTCTCTATACTCGTAGTTAATGAAGATCTTACATGTAAAATCAATTGTAAAGTTTTTTATCATTACATCAAATCGTTAAATTTTGTTTCTATGACTTTCTAAAAAGGTAATTTTATTCTGTTTATATATGTACTAGTTTGGAGTATCATTTTCTACATTTTCATGGAAAGCCCAACGAACTGATATGGGTACGTCATTTCAATTCTATTAGTAACCAAGCATCATTTGCCTATAATATTGATTTTAAACTTTAACGTATATGTAGAATAGTATGATATAAACTTTAAAAAAATAAAACTATCGATGTGTTCTAGACATGAACTACGTAGCACAATGTTTTAAACACAAAGAATTCGTCGTATAGCTGAAATTGAACAAAAAGCGTCCAATTGGGTCGTTATCAAATAAGTTTATGTCAGACGTCAGTATCTATTAATTAAAAAGCAATTGTGTAGACAAGATAATACAAAAAAATCAATTCGTGCATTGATTGATCTGACCTAGTGAGAGAAATTCGCATCTAACTGAGATACATCAAACGACTCGTTCGGATTGATCACGAAACAAATAAAAATCAATGTGGCTGTCATAATCTCAGATCTAGACGTTCCTGACCCGAATGTCCGAGATATTAATCCGATTGATGTGAAGATTCACTAATTCAGTTATTATCGAAGTGAAATCGAATCAAAGTGTACCGAACCCCTGACCTCAGATAGATAGCTACTACCTCAACGCACGATGCATGCCAATTATTTCATGTTGAAAGTTTTACGAATGTTGCCAAAGTGAACTTTGAAAACATTGTTATTTTCAAGTAGTTGTTATTGAAAGTTGGCCACTATGTAAATCTGTACCGACTTCCTCGTATACCGTGGTGTAGTAAGCAAGCGATTAGGCCTGCAAATCTAGGACAAAGGAGTACGTGCGTTATCTCCATCTATAAATCCTTATTTAGTTAGTATAGAATGGATACGGAATTATCAGCTTGCCTGACATCCTCACACTCTAGTCCTCACTGAAACGCCTCCGTTGGCTATTGACAATAAGTCCAGACCTTAGCCACAAACCGTGTAAAAGCGGAAAACGACCTCGTCGCGCTCCAAATTGGATAACAGTAAAAGTGATAGCATACATCTTCAATGGATTATTGCTGGCGCAATATTTTCATGGCTATTGGCGGTTTTGAACTATTTTAATTTATTGTTATTGTCTGATGTGTTCTGATTCACACTACGTTGTACTAGCGTACAAATTATTATGTCTCTATAGGAGTGAGAGCTCTACATGTAGGTAACAAAAGCTACTTATGGAAAGGATTCAGTCTAATATGCGCATGATTACTTTTAAAGAATAGATAATTTAACCGATGACACCGTCGCAAGTAAAGTGTGTGAAAATTAACTTCTTATCTAGTTTTCTCGTGGAACTTATACCGCTCATTATCATAGCTGTTGGTGGTGTACGACAAAAAGTCTAATTGTATTTAACTCGATCAAGCCTCGTAACACTATTAAAATGCTTGTTAGATACTTAGAAATCAATTTGAACGGGATCTATCGAAAATAGATTCGGTTTTCAATTAAACGAGACGGAACTTTCCCGCGCTTTTATACTTCTTAATCTACCATTGTAAGCTACCAACATGTACGTATCTCGATCTAATCGAGCTGTCCAAAGTAATAACAATCCACGGAACGTACAAAAGAATGGAATGATGCGATTTTAACAATCGGTAACTGTTCACTACGGTGGTGCCACTGACTTTTTGGAAAACATTTGACGGTATTACCGTTCTATGTACTATCTTTCTCGTTGACTAAACTCAACTGTTCAGATCACGACCTCTGCTATTTGATTATATCAAAATTTGATATGATCTCTATGACTATGCTTACCGAGAATATTTTAAATTATTTTTGCATGTTTAGAAAGCTTTTTTTTAATAATGTAACACATTTAACTTTAAATAATTGTCATTATATTGTTTTGTCCAGTTTTAAGGTTTGTGAAGTTTACATAATTGAAGAAAATTTAAAAGCGGACTGTAAATGACAATTTAAAAGAAATGCACTAAAAAGACCGAAACCCCACAAACATGGTCCATTTTAACGATATCAAAAAGTTATCAAATTTATTACTCCTTATTAAATTAAATAGAGAGCCATGTTTCGGCACGAATGGGCCGGCTCAACTGGAGTGATACCCACGGCCTCACAGAAAACCGGTGTTAAGCAATTCTTTCGTTGCCCTTCTCTCCCACTGACTCGAGCGAGAGGGACTCTAAGGGCGGCAACGCGCTTGTGACTTTTGAATTGCAGGTGTCCATGGGCGGCGGTAGTTGCTTACCATCAGGGGGCCCGTCTGCTCGTTTGCCCCCTTATACCATAAAAAAAATTGTAGAAAAAAATAACCTCCTTTTTCTGGATTTTGATAAATATGAGGCTTGGCTTGGTCACATTGCCGTAAGGTGAAAAATATATTTAGCTACCATCGCATTGGCGTAAGGTGAAAAATATATTTAGCTACCATCGCATTGGCGTAAGGTGAAAAATATATTTAGCTACCATCGCATTGGCGTAAGGTGAAAAATATATTTAGCTACCATCGCATTGGCGTAAGGTGAAAAATATATTTAGCTACCATCACATTGGCGTAAGGTGAAAAATATATTTAGCTACCATCGCATTGGCGTAAGGTGAAAAATATATTTAGCTACCATCGCATTGGCGTAAGGTGAAAAATATATTTAGCTACCATCACATTGGCGTAAGGTGAAAAATATATTTAGCTACCATCGCATTGGCGTAAGGTGAAAAATATATTTAGCTACCATCGCATTGGCGTAAGGTGAAAAATATATTTAGCTACCATCGCATTGGCGTAAGGTGAAAAATATATTTAGCTACCATCACATTGGCGTAAGGTGAAAAATATATTTAGCTACCATCACATTGGCGTAAGGTGAAAAATATATTTAGCTACCATCGCATTGGCGTAAGGTGAAAAATATATTTAGCTACCATCGCATTGGCGTAAGGTGAAAAATATATTTAGCTACCATCACATTGGCGTAAGGTGAAAAATATATTTAGCTACCATCGCATTGGCGTAAGGTGAAAAATATATTTAGCTACCATCACATTGGCGTAAGGTGAAAAATATATTTAGCTACCATCACATTGGCATAAGGTGAAAAATATATTTAGCTACCATCGCATTGGCGTAAGGTGAAAAATATATTTAGCTACCATCACATTGGCGTAAGGTGAAAAATATATTTAGCTACCATCGCATTGGCGTAAGGTGAAAAATATATTTAGCTACCATCACATTGGCGTAAGGTGAAAAATATATTTAGCTACCATCACATTGGCGTAAGGTGAAAAATATATTTAGCTACCATCACATTGGCGTAAGGTGAAAATATATTTAGCTACCATCACATTGGCGTAAGGTGAAAAATATATTTAGCTACCATCACATTGGCGTAAGGTGAAAATATATTTAGCTACCATCGCATTGGCGTAAGGTGAAAAATATATTTAGCTACCATCACATTGGCGTAAGGTGAAAAATTTATTCACTGTTCATTACTTAGCTGTTTACAATAAGTTCTTATAGTAACGTAACATCCAAGCCACATACATTGACTAAGGTGTAGAGTTTGTGAAGTTAGGGCTCGTAGAGTTAGGGCGTGTAGAGTTAGAAGCTCTCCACATGAATTATTATCTATATAAAGGAGTCCCTGTTATATCAATTTTCAGACTTTTAGAATTAAAATTTGCACAAGTCGCATACAAACTTACATCCCCTAGTTTAAAGGGTAGGGGGGTAAAAGTTCCAAGTTTTCAGTGATTGAGTGACTAAATCAGGGTTTAAAGATATCAATAAAATCTAAAGTATAAGAGCTATGCAATTAAAAATGTCTAATAAACCTTCTTTCTAAGGAGAGGCCTATGTCCAGCAGTAGACTATTAAAGGCTGTTGATGTGATGTGATGTGAAGTCCATCACATCCCTATAATTTTCTTTGTCTGGTATAATTCAAATCCAAGTTATGACGGTTCAAAAACACGAAGAAGCGCTTTGAGGTAGTGCCCTTCTCATTCGCTTTGCTCGTCTTGGCGGGAGTACTACCGTGCCCCCAGATTTAGAGTTTCAAATGAATTACTGGCCATACTGTTTAAATGAAACTCGTTTAAAGGGAACAATTGAATTTACTGTGACTCCGAAAGTATCAATGTGCTCAATAAATATTGAACCAAAGACAAATCATTATAGTTTTTGAGATTTGTTTAAAAACAACTACCTATTTACTCTAGGAAATTGATGATCATTTTATGTTTAATAACATGCATTGATGTGATACTTACGATTTCTATCGTAGTTTATAAAATAGTTGAGTGTTAGCTTATCTTCGTGTAAATTACTACCCGGCCAGCGCCCCTTGGATCGATACGCTGCGATGATAGCCGCATCGACCCGATACGACAAATTTGTATAATAAACTTAAATTCTAAACCGCTCATAATGACCTGAAATCTTAATAACGTTACCAGCTTAGTAATCTCTATAAATACAGTATAACATAAACAATTCAGTCCTCGATACCATTAAAGTATATGATATAATACTATT